CCCCAAAATTCCCTCAAAAATCACCCTAAAATCAACCCAAAATTATCCCAAAAATCTTCCCCAAAATCACCTCAAAATGACCCCAAATTAACCAAAAATTACCCCAAAATGGCCCAAAAAAATCCCCCCAAAAATCCCCGAATCCTCCCCAAATCCCCCCGGGCCCTTTTGGGGTGTCCCCGAATTTCGGGGTCCCCCCCTGGTGACCCCAAAATTTCCCCGAAGCCTTTTTGGGTTCTACGACGCCAACGAGACCGTGCGGGACATGGAGGCGCAGCCGGTGAGGGGCACCCCAAAATTTGGGGTGGGACCCCAAAAATTGGGGTGGGACCCCAAAAATTGGGATTGGGACCCCAAAAATTGGGGATTGAGACCCCAAAAATGGGGCTGGGACCCCAAAATTGGGATTGGGACCCCAAAATTTGGGGGTGGGACACCAAAAAAGGGGGATGGGATCCCAAAATTTGGGGGTGGGACCCCAAAATTTGGGGTGGGACCCCAAAAATTGTTATTGGGACCCCAAAAATTGGGGATTGATACCCTAGAAATGGGGCTGGGAGCCCAAAATTTGGGGTGGGACCCCAAAATTGGGGATTGAGACCCCAAAAATGGGGCTGGGACCCCAAAATTTGGGGCTGGGACCCCAAAATTGGGATTGGGACTCCAAAAACTTGGATTGGGACCCCAAAATTTGGGGGTGGGACCCCAAAATTGGGATTGGGACCCCAAAATTGGGATTGGGACTCCAAAAACTTGGATTGGGACCCCAAAAAGGGGGGTGGGACCCCAAAATTGGGATTGGGACCCCAAAATTTGGGGGTGGGACACCAAAAAAGGGGGATGGGATCCCAAACTTTGGGGGTGGGACCCCAAAATTTGGGGTGGGACCCCAAAATTGGGATTGGGACCCCAAAAATTGGGGATTGAGACCCCAAAAATGGGGCTGGGACCCCAAAATTGGGATTGGGACTCCAAAAACTTGGATTGGGACCCCAAAATTTGGGGGTGAGACCCCAAAATTGGGATTGGGACCCCAAAAATTGGGGATTGATACCCTAGAAATGGGGCTGGGAGCCCAAAATTTCGGGTGGGACACCAAAATTTTGGGGTGGGACCCCAAAATTTGGGGCTGGGACCCCAAAAATTGGGGATTGAGACCCTAAAAATGGGGCTGGGAGCCCAAAATTTGGGGTGGGACCCCAAAAATTTGGGGTGGGACCCCAAAATTTGGAGATTGAGACCCCAAAAATGGGGCTAGGACCCCAAAATTGGGATTTGGACTCCAAAAACTTGGATTTGGACCCCAAAAATTGGGGATTGAGACCCCAAAACAGGGGGTGGGACCCCAAAATTGGGAGTGGGGCCCTAAAATTAGAGGCTGGGACCCCGAAAATTGGGGTTGGGACCCCAAAAAAGGGGGATGGGATCCAAGATTTGGGAGTTTTGGGGTCTCATTTTGGGCTATTTTTGGGGGTTTTGGGGTATTTTTGGGGGTGGTTGAAGGGGTTTTTTAAAGGTGTTTTTAGGATATTTTTTGGGTTATTTTTTAGGAAAGTTTTGGTAATTTTTCAGGGTATTTTTGGGGCTGTTTTTAGGGTATTTTGGGGATATATTCAGGATATTTTCAGGATAATTTCAGAATATTTTTGGGATATTTTCAGGATATTTAAAAAATATTTTTGGGATATTTTCAGGATATTTTGGGGATATTTTCAGGGTTATTTTTGGGATATTTTCAGAATATTTTGGGGATATTTTGGGGATATTTTTGGGATATTTTCAGGATATTTTGGGGATATTTTCAGGGTTATTTTTGGGGATATTTTCAGGGTTATTTTTGGGATATTTTCAGAATATTTTGGGGATATTTTCAGGATATTTTCAGGATATTTTGGGGATATTTTCAGGATATTTTCAGGATATTTTCAGGATATTTTGGGGATATTTTGGGGATATTTTCAGAATATTTTGGGGATATTTTCAGGATATTTTGGGGATATTTTTGGGATATTTTCAGGATATTTTGGGGATATTTTCGGGATGTTTTCAGGATATTTTTGAGATATTTTCAGGATATTTTGAGGATATTTTGGGGACATTTTCAGGACATTCTCAGGGTTATTTTTGGGATATTTTGGGGATATTTTCAGGATATTTTCAGGATATTTGGGGGATATTTTGGGGATATTTTCAGGATATTTTGGGGATATTTTCAGGATATTTTCAGGATATTTGGGGGATATTTTGGGGATATTTTCAGGATATTTTGGGGATATTTTGGGGATATTTTCAGGATATTTTCGGGATATTTTGGGGATATTTTCAGGATATTTTCAGGATATTTTGGGGACGTTTTCAGGACATTTTCAGGGTTATTTTTGGGATATTTTCACGATATTTTGGGGATATTTTGGGGATATTTTCAGGATATTTTCAGGATATTTTGGGGACGTTTTCAGGACATTCTCAGGGTTATTTTTGGGATATTTAAGGGGTTTTTTTCCCATTCCAGGTGTTCCTGCAGGACACGTTCGGCCTGCGCTCGCTCTGGGCCCGGGGCGCTCTGGGCGGCTGCGCCGTGCCCGGGGTCCCTCACACGGCCTGGCACAGCCACAGGGGGGTCTACGAGAAATGCATCCGGCCCTGGCTCACCTAGGCCATCCTATGGATTCTATAGGGGATTTATAGGGATTTATGGGATTTATAGGGGATTTATGGGATTTATGGGATTTATAGGGATTTATGGGATTTATAGGGGATTTATGGGGTTTATGGGGGATTTATGGGGTTTTTAGGGGGGTCTGTAGGGGATCCATGGGCCTGGCACAGCCACAGGGGGGTTTATGAGAAATGCATCCGGCCCTGGCTCACCTAGGGGATCCTATAGATTCTATAGGGGATTTATAGGGATTTATGGGATTTATAGGGGATTTATGGGGATTTATGGGGTTTATGGGGTCTGTAGGGGATCCATGGGCCTGGCACAGCCACAGGGGGGTTTATGAGAAATGCATCCGACCCTGGCTCACCTAGGGGATCCTATAGATTCTATAGGGGATTTATGGGGTTTTTAGGGGGGTCTGTAGGGGATCCATGGGCCTGGCACAGCCACAGGGGGGTCTACGAGAAATGCATCCGGCCCTGGCTCACCTAGGCCATCCTATGGATTCTATAGGGGATTTATGGGGTTTTTCATGGATTTATGGGGTTTATAGGGGATTTATGGGATTTATGGGGGATTTATGGGGTTTATGGGGGATTTATGGGGGATTTATGGGGTTTTTAGGGGGGTCTGTAGGGGATCCATGGGGCTGGCACAGCCACAGGGGGGTTTATGAGAAATGCATCCGGCCCTGGCTCACCTAGGCCATCCTATGGATTCTATAGGGGATTTATAGGGATTTATGGGATTTATAGGGGATTTATGGGGTTTATGGGGGGTTTATGGGGATTTATGGGGTTTATGGGGTCTGTATGGGATCCATGGGCCTGGCACAGCCACAGGGGAGTTTATGAGAAATGCATCCGGCCCTGGCTCACCTAGGGGATCCTATAGATTCTATAGGGGATTTATGGGGATTTCTGGGGTTTTTGGGGGATTTATGGGGATTTATGGGGTTTATAGGGGATCTGTGGGTTCTATAGGGGGGTTTCAAGGGGATCCCTGGGGCTGGCCCTGGCTCACCTAGGGGATCCTATAGGATCTATAGGGGATCTGTGGGGTCTATAAGGGACCTGTGAGGTTTATAGGGGATTTAGGGGGTTTATAGGAGCTCTGTAGGGGATTTGGGGTCTCTGTGGGGTCTCTATATGTCCCTATAGGGAATTTGGGGTTCCCTTTAGGGGATTTTGGGGTTCCATAGAGGATTTGGGGTCCCTGTAGGGATTTTGGGGTTCCATAGGGGATTTTGGGGTCCCTTTAGGGGTTTTGGGGTTCCATAGGGGATTTTGGGGTCCCTTTAGGGATTCTGGGGTTCCATAGGTCATTTTGGGGTTCCATAGGGGATTTTGGGGTTCCATAGGGGATTTTGGGGTCCCTTTAGGGGTTTTGGGGTTCCATACGGGATTTTGGGGTTCCATAGAGGATTCTGGGGTTCCATAGGTGATTTTGGGGTTCCATAGGGGATTTTGGGGTCCCTTTAGGGGTTTTGGGGTTCCACAGAGGATTTTGGGGTTCCATAGGGGATTTTGGGGTCCCTTTAGAGGTTTTGGGGTCTCCCTGGGGCCCCTCCCATTTTTGGGGTCCCTGGGGGGGTCCCGGCCGTGGGGGAGGGGCCGGTTCAGTTTTTGGGGTCTCTTTTGGGGGGGGTCTCCCCTCCCCCACCCCTCCCCCACCGACTCAGGGATTTGGGGGCCCCTCCCCCCACGGCCTAAAGGGGGAGGGGCCAAATTTTGGGGGGGCGGGGCCACGGCCAATAAAGCACTTCCCCCCCCCTGAAAT